CTTCACTGTTGGCAGCTGTCTGTTTATAAAGGAACATGCCCTAATAAACGTTTTCCCTAGATCAGAGGTTGCTGTATGATCAGCACAGTGACACTGGATTGCTTTAGTGGGTGTATACCTGCAGGCACGCTGATCACCCCAGAGTCCCTGTAGGCATAAGCACTCGCCACTGGTCAAGACTCCTCGGCCAGTGTGAGCTGTTCCTACAAAAAATCAGCAATGCCTGGCTGGGAACTCATGTCTGGATGTACCCTAGGGACACGGGAATGGCTCAGTGTAAGAGTGAGCCAGCTTTGGTCCAGCAACATCATCAGGAAGACGTGGGAAAGAGGCTTCTTGCCACCTGCGAGAGGAGCAGGCAGCCACCAGAGCCCAGCTAAGGGGGGGGCCAGCCGGTGCAGGCGGCCGTGTGCGGCTGTGGGGCTGCGAGGCCTCAGGGCGCGGGGAGGCGAGCGGAGGCGTGCTGGTGTGGGAAGCACTCTCGGGAACGGCTTCAGCAGAGGAGGAGCAGGATCACCCTGCCTGCGATCGCTCCCAAGAGCTCAGTGGGATGTGTGACCCTGAGATTACCCTTGCAGGAGCACCGGCTCCCAAAGATTGCTGCTGCTTTTCTCTTTATAACGCTGTGCACAAGGCAAAAAACCAACAAGCAGCAAAGTTTCATTGAGTGAAAGTACGACCCATTCAAGGAGGGGACACCCGCTTGTCTGTCCTTGGCAGAGAGAGGTGGCGAGCCTGATGTCCCAACATCTGTCAGTGCAAGTGTAAGTCAGAAGAAATAAATGCCCTCGTTGTACACAGTCAGTAGCTTCAGTGGGAGGTGAGAGGGGCTCTGCAGTACAGCCTGCTCTGCCGGGGTCTCCTCGCCCTGAGCAGCCGGGTGACACGGCCCCCCTCTCCCCAAGGCTCTTCCTAAACAATCCCTTTCTGCAGGCACTTGGGCTTGTGGAAGAGAAGCCAGGCAAACAGGAGCACGGCCACCAGCACGAGGGAGCACAGCACCATCAGCCCCACGTAGCTGCCGTGGGAAAGAGGGGGCACAGGGGGCTCCTCTGCGGGGATCATGTTGGTCAGGTTCAGCATGTAGCCCAGGGTCCAGCCCGCATCGCTGCTGCCGATCTGAAATGGGAAAGGAGCAGAATCAGTGCTGGAAGGTGCAGGGGCTGCTTGGGGCATGGCTGGGGCAGTGGCGCCTCTGGGGAAAGAGAGCCAGGCTGCACAGCAGGGGTTGCAGCAGTTCGCTGCTGGGGTAGAGCCCTCCCTGCCACGGAACACACCTTCCCAAGGAAGTGGATCCTTTGCCAGTTCTTTTCAGTGAATTCGTAGCCATTTTCCAGGAGAGAAAGGATGTATGCGCCAGAGAAGCAATATTCACTCAGGTACTTTTCTTTTATTTGGTGATACGCTGTCTTCACCTAGGGAAGGAGGAAGTCACCAGGGTGTTCAGCACAGCTTCCCGCCGCTCCAGCCTGCGCCTGAGCATCCACTGCAGGTGCTGGGGATATCTTCCCCCTCTTGCCTTGGACATTACCCCCAACCATTTATCCTACAAGAAAAATATCAGCAGCTCTTGCCACCCGGCAGCCCCAGCCCACTGCCACCAGCACCGCTCACCTTGTGCCAAGGCCGGGCGCAGAAGCTCTCAATGGCGCTGGCCACTTTGTCCAGGGCAACGGGGCTTTGTTCACTGGTCAGGTTCAAAAAGTTCATCACGAAGTAGAAAGCAGAAAAAGCCTGAAGGAGGAAGAATATTTTAACCTGACTGGGCCTCAGCATGAGCAGGACAGTGGAAATCCCACAAAAGAAAATGGTTTTATTTACAGATAGAGAAATATAAGAAGCAACATCACACACACAAAAGTAGGTATATTTTCAAGAGTGATGTCATTTTGAGACACAGCCCGTCGAGCCGATGAGAGCTAAGGACCCCAAAAGGAAGGCGGAGATAGAAACTTCACTGACCACAGCATCCTGAAGAACTTTAGTAAATCCCTCTCCTCTAGGCACTGGTGCCAGAGCGGCACATGGTGAATGCTGCTTGCCAGCACAACCATGATCCCATTTTGGCAACTGAATGAGGAGTGTGCAGCCAATATCACCACAAACAGCAGAGGTGATGGTCTGAAAGGACTGTGCACAGCCCCAGAATATAATCCAAAGTCCAGAAAACCCATCTCTGACCGTGGCCAATAGCTGATAGGTAGGGGGCACTTTATGAACAGGGCAAGGGAATATTAACAGTTCCTCCAGAAAGCCTCACAGCCACTGAAGTCTTCTTCAAACAGGACTGATGTTCAGTGTGGCGTCACGCATGATGTGTGCTCTGTCTCCTCGTTGTGTCTGGGAAGCAGACAGGTGAGCTGACTGATTGCTTTCAGTAGCTCTCACACACTTCTGGATGAATCTCAAGATCTGGTACCACCACTGACCTCAGGAGACAGGGTTTCCAGGAGCAGTGCATCATGCACGGCCTGCACCAGGCTCTCCTGCCTCTGGTGCTGGCCTTCAGGAAGGACTGCTTGAAAAATGAATTGGTAAATGGAGCACCCCAAGGAGATGCCTACAGGAGATGGGTTAGAATGGGAACAGTGCGGTACCGGTAGGCCAGTATTTACTAGTGTAGCTCCTACACCTGCTGTCCTCACGGTAAATGCAACACTACTTTTGTAGTTACATGTCCAAAAAGCCATCTTGTAAATGATTTCTTGCCCCAGCCATGGAGAATACACTCTAGCATTACTCTGAGTTTCTGCTTTTCTGATATTCCGGGTTACAGGGAGTTGAAGAATGTGAAGACTTACCCCAAAGTCCCCATGCAATGGAGGTAGGTATATCCCATTGAAGGAGCAACTGGAGTAAGGACAATCGGTTTTGTTAAAGAGTTCCTGGATGTTTCTTCGGCACTTTTGATAATTCCCCTCTCCCTGTATGTACAGCTGGCTGAAAGGGAGTTGCTTTTTCTTGGCTGATGTACAAGGGGTTTTGAAGAGGTCACTTGTATTTATAGTCCTCTGATACCCCTGGTGAAAGCATGGATCAAGGAGGCTGCTGTTCTCCATGGTCTGAAAGCAAAATGAGCACAAGCTGTTACACTTCACTCTAGAGTAACACCCTGGGAAAGAGCCACAAGGAAGGGTGGCCACAAGGCACTCGTCACAGTACATCACACCAAGATAGACACATCGGGTCAAAGTGATGAGGATGGTTTAAGGCATTGGCTGTGATTTGGGAGATGCGGGTGCTGCTAGACCCTCGCTGTAGGACCCTGGGCAAATTACTTTCAGCTGCATTTTGTGGAGCTGTTGTTGATTTGGGATTCTTGGGAATGGTGAAACATCACCTCCCCTAGTACTTCAGTTAAGCACAGTACTCTTGCCCAAATACCATGCCCAGGAATCAAGGCACCTCAAATTGGTACTACTTCTGAAAACATTGTCATCTCTTTGGGCATCTGCCCACAGTCTTTATGAAGGATAATGACATTTCCCAAACACAGACCAAGGGAAGAGGCCTTTAGCTGGGACACAGCAACTTTTACAGCACCAGTATGTCAAAGCTAGGAGGGTCCAGGATCTCCACCTGCAGTTACAGATGTACTTGCCTGTAGGTCCCTGGCCAGTTTCTGCTGCAGAGCCTGGTCCTTCCCGTAGCAGAGAAAGCTGTGCGTGTACACTAGGTAATCCTTGCCATAGAGACGGAAGTAGAGCAGGTTCTCTGGGGACTCAGGAGAAAGTTTTTCTGGTACAAAGGTAATCTGTGTTGAGGCTCCTCCGAGGTCTAATGCTCCTGATGTCTCACTTATGGATCTCAGGGAATGTAGAAATTTCTTCCAGCCAGACTTTTTTAAAAAAAAAAAAAAAAAAAAAATTATCAAAGTAGAACAGATATATCAGGCATGGATAAGATTTCTTTGGAAACAAGAAAAAAAGAGAAAGACCCATGAGGAGAGAAGCAGAAGCACAGAACACAAGAAAGGCAGGAAGACATGGGGGGGTGTGTGTGTGCATGAGATGGGAGCTGGAACAAGACACAAGAAAGATGTAGGCTTGGAAAAGCAGAAGATGGATCATATCTGAGTGTTTGCAGAAGGACCAAAAATACGAAATCTAATACAATTGTTACGAGAAAAACCAGTCAACTTACTGTTTCAGCTCCCAGATGATTTACAAGCTCAATAGTAAAGAATCATTGTCACACTTGGCAGGCACAGAAATATTTTAGATCAGGAAGTGAGGAGGATGCTGTACCCAAGTGAAGTTATCAAAGATGCTGGTGCTTTATTTCAATGCTTTAAGCCTGACTGCAGTGGTACATCCGGATACTTCTCGGTGTCAGGATGTACCCACAGTGATTCCTGAGGCAAGACGTGCAGCTTCCTGATCTCTCGTAAATGGCTTACAAGGGAAGATAGTGCCTGCGACACCCCCCTGCAAGGCATGATTTACAAAGTGCTGCAAGCTGATGATTGAAATACGGACTTGCCATTGATACAGTACCTGCTTGAAATTGCCCAGCAGGTAGTTAATGGTGATCCATCCATAAGCTCCTTCTTCCTGACCACTGATGATTCTGGCACCCTGGAAGTTGAAGGGAGAGGAGCGGAGCGTCTTCTCTACTGAGGACAAGACTTTGTCAGCTGCACTTTTATTCTCCAAGCTGGATGAATGGAAGAAAGGATGGAGTGACTCTGGCTGACAGCTCTCTACAGCCTGTGGGCTTTATTCTAAGCAGGAAGGCTGCAACTCCCCACCAAGCGTTAATTATAATGGAACCTCTAGCTCTACCTGGCCACGTCCCTCTCTGTCACACATTGACAGCACAGCTGCCACCAGCTCTGATACTTACAGATCCCACAGCTGAGAGCTGTACCTGGAGCAGAGACCAGAGCTCTCTTGTTCTCCTGGAGCACATGCCCTGGTAGGGATTGCACCGTGGAGATTCCTCTCACTCTTCACCATCACCGTTACAGAAGAAATCCATGCCCTCTGATATCCTCGGGGACATTTCCCAAGCAATACATACATAAGATAAGCTCCCTGTCACAGCCGGGCAAGAGGTCTGGGGCACCCCCATGAAAACCACAAATTGGAATTAAAGGAGGATATGATTGTAAAGTTACCTTAGCTCTGATGGTCTTGGGCTGAGTCAAGGTACGTGGGGAGTTGCAACACGGTTGGGCTCAAAAATCCTGGGTCAGGCCCAATACCAGACTGTGGGGGATGCCCGAGCATCCCCTTGGCATCAGCTTGGGCACTGCTGCCCTCCTGGTGCCTCTGTGCTCTATGTGGGTGCTGGAGATGATGGGAGTGAGTGGAAATGGACCTGCTGGGCAAGCATGGGAGGAGCCCAGGGAGGCTTGGGGCTCAAAGAGACCAGTGGCAGAAGAGGGTATCTGGGCAGCATGTGAGTTGGCAGCATTTCCACGGACTTTGGCCAAGAGGCCCCACTGAGCATCCGTGGTGGTCCCAGGCACAGTGCTACGGGAGAAGGGGACAAGCCCTGCAGTACCTGAGAAGCCGCATGCCAGCAGTTGCTCCGAGGTAGACGGGTGTCTCTTGGTGCTGCGTTGAGGGAATCACCTCTCCTGCTTGTTGTAGGCACTGTGCCAGAGAGGGACCTGCCTGCTCTGTGGCATGGGAGTAACCTGAGATCCCAGGGCCTGCGAGAAATACGGATGCTTCATTGCTCAAACTCCAAGCATAACTCCAGAGCGCTGTCACGAGCAGTTGTGTTAAACCGTATCGCTATCACAGGCAGCAACATCAGATTCAACCACCCCATTTCTAAGGAGTTTTGGAAATCCTACAGCGCCAGCTAAGCCCGATGCACGCGGGACAGCCACAGTTCCCAGCATCTGCCACCCGCCCTCCGCGGAGCAGGCTATGAGCTAGCGATGAGGGCTGCAGCGAGATAGATCATTTGCTTAATATGTCCTGGACATCCGCAGGCTCATCTCTGCTTCTGCCTGGCCGTACCCTGGATCTGCACCTGAAAAATCTCTGACCCTTCGCTACGCTGGGTTCTCCGGGGGAAGATGCTGTCATCTGTTTGTGTATTGTATGCTCACACTACAGCACTAAGTGTTTTGCAGCTATCCCCTTTCACACTAACCCAAAGAAAAATTCATTGTCCCTCCCCGCTGCGTGTCCCCTGGTGGATGGGCTGCCCCAGGACTGGTGCCTGCGTGGGCAGCAGCGAAGCCCGCTCTGCGTTTGCTCCAGGTTGCTGTAAGCTCAGCATGCTGCTCGTGGCGTGCTGCAGCACCGAACAGCTATCACAGCAGCTCAGTGACAGCGTGGCTCCCCCCTGCACTGCAGACAGGCCTGAAAAGACCCCAGGCAGGCTCTGACAACACCTCTGCTCTCCGCAGAGCGCAGCGATCCACGATGGTCTACTCTGTTCCTTGTCATGTGCGTCCTTGGGCTTCATTTATGCCTTCCTAAACCATACGATATCTACAATTAACTAGAATAAAAAATAAACCATGACATGCATAAGTTGAGCAACCTTGGCCTACAAGCCCACAGCCTAGCTTGCACAGAAGCCTTGAAAAAGGACAAACCATGCCCTCCCGTCTTGCTGCCTGCTATTCATCGGCACTTCAGCAAGGGTGTATGCGTGCGTTTTATTTAAGTACGTTATTTGGTGTAGTTCTTTCCAAAAAGCACTTCCAAGCATCTTAAAAACAAAGGAAAACGCGGATCTAGCTTTCCTCCCAGGAAGGTCAGCCACACACAGCTCCCCGTGGGAAGCAGTGGGATATACATTAGCTCGCAGATGTAACACTGTTTTCACAATTGGCCTCTTCCTCTAGGTTTCTCCTCCCCCACCCTTTGATTGCCGCTCGCAGATGTAACACTGTTTTCACAATTGGCCCTTTGATTGCATTATCTCTTCTCGATCCCATGCCCTTTCCACAGCTCCCTTTTCTCCTCTTACCTTCGACTTTACACACCTCCACCTGCTGCACCACCCCGGTGTTGTTCTCTTTCTCTGCTGGCCACTCGTACACATACAGGTTAGTGTGGGATGACCCTGCGTCTAGCACGATCCCGTACTGTGGGCAAAACAGAGCCGTCATTGCACCCGAGGCACCGAACCAGGCACAGTGTGCGCTGGTCTCCACATGTGGGGGGACCAGAAACGAAGAGCTATCTGGCAGCTGTGGGAACACGCTGTGTCATTTCTCAGTAGTGCTTCAGTGCAAAGTTTCCATCAAAAGACACAAGAGCCAGATAAGCAGCAAAACTGGGACTGATTACTTAGGAGATAATCCCCTATGAAACCATATCTGGTTTTATCATGAAGATGTAAACCAAGATGTTGAGGTGCATGGAGCCAGAAAGAGAGGTTAGCCAGACCCAGCAAGGGCAGCAACACGTGCTGGAGCACTATGCACACCTAACCCTCCCAGCTTGGCTTGTTATCCTGAGAGTCCCAGCTTGTAATACCTTAATATTCTTCGGAAGTGGCTTGTTTTGGGTCACTGCTACAGCAATTAAAGCGATTACAGCCAAAGTAGAGAGGAATCCCAGCATGAGTAGAATCTTTCTTGTCCAGGACATCTTTGGTTTGGTACCTGTGACTAGAGTAGAAAAAGGATGTTAGTATCCCAGTAGCCCATCTTAACCTCACACCCCAAAGGTCTTCAGGCATGTTCCTGCAGTCCCTTTCCACTACGAAGCATCTGCCTCTGCCCATCCCTGCTCCCGTCTCCTTCTCCATCTCCTTGTGCAGGATTTCTTAGAGGCAGAGCTCAGCCCTGGCATCCTGCAGGTCTGCTCTCATGTGGCTGTGCCATGTCTCCATGGGCTGCCTGGTGCCAGGCAGTGATGAAGGAGGACTTCAAGATGCAGCTTACCGTTAGCCTGTCCTTGGGATACCTGCAGGTGGCTGAGCAACTGTATAGCAAAAGCATCTGTATGGGGCAACACCAACACCTTCTATAGCTCTGTGTTTGGCTTAATAATCCCTGAGAAGCTGAAAGAACAGACTGCTAATATATAGACAGCGTAACCTTGTGGGACCCAAAGCTTTAACCCCTGTCACATTTTGTCCTAGTGTACTCTGTGCTTCAGTTTTGGGGTTTTTTTGTTTGGTTTTGTTTTTTTTACGATGTTTATAACAATTTACAACATCCTCATCAACAGTAATGCATTTAGGAAGTCTAACACTAACATTTCAGTATGTGGCAGTCCGTTCAAGCAATACTGTCCTGCACCTTAGCAATGCTATATAGAAAATATGATTTGTACCCCACAGGGTATTTAAGAAATCTATGGAGATTTTTGATGCCACTTCTCACAAGACCAGCAAGTTATGAATAGCCTGTATTTGCAGAAGTGGCATAATATGGTTAAAAAAATCACACACTTTGCAAAACTTGTACCAGTCCGATTCCTTAACTGTTACTGACATATTTGGTATGACCTATCTAGCAAATTATCATTTTTGTAGCTTAAAATGCATGGTCAGTGGTAGAATTCTGTAAAAATAGCCACTTACAGCTGATAAAAACCATTCACAACCAGTATGGCACTTGAGCTTTCAGAACCAGTATACATATACCTGCATTTGTTAGTGACTAGCGTGATGCTGTCTTTTATATTTTCCTGCTTTGGATTCTCCCTCATATATCCCATGGTAGGAATCTTACTTCACAACTTAGGCTCAGCCAGTTTTGGTATTTGTTTAATAAAATACCTTCTTACAATACGAAGCTCTAGAAAGTGCATCAGCAGAAGCATTTCCCAGATCTATAATCTAACTGTAAATTCAACACTTACAACTAAGAAATAGCTTTGTTACTCCAGGGGACATACCTGCACCCACTACGGCATGAAATCCGTTTCTACCCACACTGGTGCTCCATGCTCAAAAGCACCGATTGTCTGACTGCTCACACGGGTACTAATTTCTCTTCTCCTTGTACACAAATACTCCAGGAGATGTTTAGAAGAACATTCTGGGTCATCCAGGGTGACAATACCTCTGTGCAGGCAACCACATAAACTATCTTCATGCTCCAAGAAGGTAAGGTGTTTGAACCTGCTCGGCATCTGCCTGCCAGAACTGGAGTTCCAAAGGGCATTCTCCAGCCCTCAGGTGACACCGGGTCAATGCTCCAAATCCATGCATGTCACGCATGCAAATATGAAAAGCATTTAAGTTCTGAACAGGATCATCTTCTGACCACTCTGGTTTCACACGAAAGGTGGTCCCAGGTGCCAGAACTATACAAAGTGTCACCCAATCTTACATATGACCCCAAACCCTAGAGTTATTTTCAGAAGCTAGCCCAAGGGGTGCAATGCACCTCTGGAAATCTCTAAGTGTAGACAAATAGCATCTTCCCACCTACCTAGAGAAAATGAAACCCAAAAGTGCCAAAAGAACTTGTTTCAAAGATCTCCCCACAGGCAAGTCCACTGGAAACCTAACACTGACCTGGAGCTCTGTGCCCTCCTCTCATAGCGCTCATGTGTAAATCTGCTGAGGCTGACTGAAATTTGGAAGCTTGTTATGCTCGCGTTTTGTGAGTGCCTCTTAGAGGCACGGCACGCTTGCCAATATCTCCAAGAATGCAGCTTAAAAAAATAGCCCAGTGCACATACCAGACAGTAGGAGGTAAGAATGCGTTTTATGCAGCTTTAGTCAAAAAGGCCCCAGAACTTGTTGCTTGAAGTGATTAGAAACAGCAGAGCATGACAGCTGGGGGACTTTTCTTATTGGAGAGAGTAGCTGGCTCAGGTTAGGATAGCACTGAGCATGGCTGTTGAACAAAGACTATTTTGACACTAGAAAAATGAATAAAACCAGGTGCTATAATGTACAATTAGCTGTGCAGTATAGATATGAAGCTGGCATGCTTGAAAACTGAAACTGCTGCTGACAGCTGCACAGCCCATCTGCGTAATTATTGCCACCTTTGCTCTGAGAACGTGCCTAGAGGCAGCCGCTAACGGCTCTGCTGGGTGTTTACTGTCATAGGAACGAAGGATAGGTGACTTCTAAGATTTTCAGACTTCCTGTTATGATGGGTATCATCTGGCTGCTGTATCTTTTCAGCAGCCACACTCTGACAGTAACAGCAAAGCAGGAAGAATTTTCTCACTGTCGTGGACCATCCCAATAAATAGCTATAGAAATCCCTCGTCTGTAGGCAGAGGTATAATGATAATTATCTGCATCCCACCCGCAACCCGAGATTAGTAATTTTTTTTCCAAGGCACATTATTTCCTTAACCCTGAATGTGACTTTTGCCTGAATTTTAGCTCAGTATCATGAGCACTTTTCAGGACTCTGGGAGCTATAGATATGCCATGTCATTGCTGTGTCCCATACCAGAGCACCTGTCTGGGTGAACTCTAATGCTACCAAAGCAGCATTTTGTTGAAACAGTTCATGCAAGAAAAGGTACAAAACGATAAGCATAACCCAGAAGGTAGCCTAGCAAAGCAATAACCTTCTGAATAGCACTCAAAGTGTGCAGACTTGAATACTTGTTTTTAAAAAAAACAAAACCAAACTACAACATTGCAAATCCAGGTAAAGAATTCAGTGTAATTAAAACAAAACTCACCTACCATTTGCTCAGAACAGTGAAGTATTTGAACAAGGTCCCTTTTCTGCACACTTGGTTACCTCCATCAGCTCTGGGCATAATTGCAGGTTTTGCAGTGGCTAAAGAATTAACTTATTCCTTAGACTCCAGCTCCTTTGCACCCCACGTTCACATTGCTGAATGCTATGCAAACACTCCTCAGTCTCCACCAAGTGGGGCAGTACTTGACCCTCTAGCACCTGATTGCCAGGCCCCAGAACTTTTCTTCCACTAGCAGTTTTCCTCAGCTAAAGGCGAAGCAGGCATGATCTTCTGCCTCTGTACCCAGCCAGAACCCCCATAGAGACAGATCTCTGCTCTTTTTCCCATACTGCCCACTGTAAGTGGCAATGAAAACATCACATAAGGCCATAAGTAGGCATAGAAATGACGCTGCTTTCCTTCCCCACCCCAAAGCCCAGAGCCGCCTGGTGCTGGAGCCCTGCCCGGCTGCGCAGGCATTAAGCACTCTCCAGATGTTGGAGCACAGCCCAGCTGCTCAGGCATCTGTCTGTTTCTAATTTTGGTCTCTTTGGTTTTTTGTAGGGGCTACCACTGGTTCCATTCAGTGATTGGTGCAGGTCCCAGAACATGAAGAGATCTAATATCCTTTGTGTCTCCGAGTTAGCTATCAAGCGAGAATGACGCTGGCAGCCTCGCCAGCTAACAGCAGCTTCGCCGCAGAGACCCTGCTGCTCTCGGTGAATAACCCGGGAAGGCCCACACGAGCGTGGGAGGCAGCTCCGTGTGAAAGCAAGGAAGCAGGATTGTCCTCAGTGTCTTCCAGAGCCTCAGGATAAATAGGAAACTGTTCCTCCAGCCGACATCACGCTAAGTCACTGGCAGCCCTGCACGCCAGGAGGTGTCACTCACAGCCAAGGCTGCCCACCTCCCAACTCCCTTCTCACCAAGCAAGACTTAGCAACAAATGTTAAAAGGAATCAGGCAACCAGCTGCTTTTAAGAGATGGAATAACGAGAGGCTAAGGTTGGCTTAAGGACTGAAATTAGCATTGTCAAGCAGAAAAGGAGAGATGCCGTGCACAGTCCAAAGCCATGCTCAGCTCAGATAACCTCACTGTGACCCATCCTCTCTAATAAACACAAATAGTGTCGTAAGCTCTGGCTTGGCACAACGGCTAAAGTTGATGCTTGGTCTTTCCTTCGGATGCTTGTGCTCAGCCTGTCACAGAAGGGATCACAGGAGGCTGTACTGCGGGGCCAGCGCTCTTCCACTGCACAAGTGCCACGCTGGCAGAGACAGCTCCCGCCTCACCCTGACGCACACCTCTGCATGGTCAGGAACATTCTTGTTTCCAGCCTTTATTTATTACCAGTCTGTTCCCTCTGCCTTTGTTCTACCTCCGTCTCAAAACTTCCGTAACTCTCAATCCTCCTGGAATTTATTCTCTTAACCATTTTATAAGCAATGATCCTTTCTGGATTTTTGTCTTTCCAGCCTTCTGCATCTACCTGAACAATCCAGCAGCCCTTCCCTGCATACAGAATAATCCGCTTTTGTTTTTCTTGAGCATTCTGACCAGAGCTGCAATGAGACTAAGCCTTGCACAGTAATGTACCTGTTACACCAGGAGATGATACAGTCCCAGCCTAAATGAAGTGAGGTGGGGACCTGTACTACCTCAGACACATGATCAGCTGCCATCACGGCTGGTACTGAGTCAACCCAGCACCTCTCCTATGCAATCCCACCAAATTCACATTTGACCGCATTTAATTAAATTAGCCCGGCTACATGCTGTAAGCAAAGGGAGTTCCAAGACACATTGCCTGCTGCCCACGAGGCTTGGAGTGACGACAGAGAATAAGGCAGCATCTTACGAATCCTGCCCATCAGCTGGCAGCTGCTCCGCTGCTGACCACCCACGTTGCTGCTGCAGTCTGTTGGGAGCCTCTCCAGTAACTGGTTTCCTAAGCACGCGTCCAGTCTTTGCAGGATTGCTGCTGGATGCTCATGCAATCACATAGCCCAGCAAATGGGAATATAATCTGTGGAGCTCCTGAACCTAAACATATCAGAGAGACACAGCGCAGCGCTGAGAAGCCGCTGAATTATGACCCATCACAAAAGGACACAGGCATGCTTGCAGACTGGGAACTTGGGAACAGTAGGGATTGAAATGAGTCAGATGCCACCGTATTTTTAAAGCAAGGAGCAACAACTTGCCTGCCTGACTGCCAGCAGAAAGAGCACAGGAGCCCATGGCTGGAGGGTGCCCAAATCCCTCAGCAGTCTGAATGCATCCAGCACCTGTGACTGGCTCTGAGGCACGGGGTGGGCAGCTTGGGCAGAAGGAGCATCCGTCAGGGCGAGCGCTTGCAGATGAACATCATCCAGGTCAGCAGAGCACCCAGTAGACAGGGGCTCCAGCAATGCAGTCTGCACACATTTACTAACTGCAGGAATTCACGTCTGTGAAGTTCTGCCGGCAGCAATGGCAGGGAAAGGGGATGGGAGGATGGGAGCAGTCAGTGCTGCTGTTCTTCAAGGTGGATTGGGGAGGGGGGCAGGGGGGAGGATGCACTTTATCCTCCTGCCAAGGGAAAATGAGATATCAGTAGTTGTGAAGTTTATCAAGGCTGAATTGCACGCTCACTGAGGTTGCTGAACTTGCATCAGGTTTTGAGGCACACTACCTAAAAAGGCACTTCTGTCTTCAGACTCACCACAACCAAACATCTGAGCCCATAAACACTCAGAAGAGCCACGCTGCATCATTCATCACCCCTTTTCTGAAATTTTCTCTGTCCCCAGCTGACTTCTTACTCATTCTTCATCTGCCTTTTTCATTCAAACATGCTCTTGTCCAAGTTACCTAGGAATATTTTGCTGCAAAGTAATGTAAACCACCTGTTTCAGGTCAACATACTGGAAAAGTCCTTTCTTAGGCTGGCAAGAGGCTCAGGTTTGTCTTAGAATATGCATACAAGTGCATATACAGTAAGTGAATTGCTTTGGTTTAAGAGGTTTTATTTCAAAATATCAGGGCAAGACACTGAACATGTTGAAATTAGAATTCAAGCTCCAGATCAGGATTTTACATCACTTTTTGCAGCTGTGACATGGAACAGCGCGGGAGGCTCTGCTCCAGGTTTTAATTATTCATATGCCAAAGATTGCGGCCTAAATGCTGCTGTGATCTCTGGCCCTCCTTGTGGTGCTATATACAATTATAAATACACATTTACTGGGTTATGTTTTTTTCCAGATTATATAGCTCTAAGTGCTGAGGTACAAACGCTGAAATGTCAGCGAAATTGATAATGCAAACAATGTAATACAGTTTTCTTTGCATGCGTCTTTCAGATACATTTGATACTTTGAAATCACACAGCCCTACACATCTCAAACCCAAGCAGACTGCTATGGATCCGGGCTATGCAGCTGGGCAGAGAGCTTGAACCAGTCTGTGCCATGTGCACACACACGTGTGCGTTAGTGAGATGGAAGATGGAGTAAAGAGTTTGCCTATATCTGTGATAACAACAAGTTGGAAGCAAAAGCACACTGACACATAGGGCTGGAATTCAAAATAAATTTGATAAATATGGGAGAGCCTGGGGAAAACACCCAACTCACTTGAGTAAGGGCAAGAGCAAATAGGACATTTAGAAAATAGCCATTGGCCAAAGACAGCACGGTGAGCAATTGGTTAAGTAGCACTTCCAGAGAAAACATTCTTGCAGCAATAGCAGTTTGCAGTAATCCTTCCCACCATCTAATGCTGTTAAAGCCTCCTGTGAAGTTCTATGCCCAATTTTGGACACTGCCTTTCAGGAAAGATGTAGACCACTTGGAGAAACTCCAGAGGAGAACAAGAAGGAAGATCAGAAGTCTGAAAACTTGACCTATAAGGAAAGACTGAAGGAGTTGGGTTGTTTAGTTTAGAAAGAGAAGAGCGAGGAGACACGTTAGGTGTCTTCAGACAAATAAAGTCTCTATCTGGCAATGCTGTTGAGGCTGATCCTGCCTCAGGGCAGGGGTGGCTCCTGGACTTTCTCCCAGCTCCATTTCCTTGGTTCGGAAGGCAGGGACTTAGCAAAAGGATGGTGATGCTCATAAGCCATGCTGTTAGCAAAGACCAACGCACTGTGTACGCACTTCTCTTGGGATACAGATGCACTTGAATAAAGCTGTTCCCTCCCTCCCCCAACAGAGCTCCAGGTTGCATTCAGACATAATTCAGCCATGGCAACCACCCTGCTATATGCTATCCATATGTACAACATTGCCTGGGGTGGGAGCATCTCAACCTTTTTCTGCTTTTAGAGTTGCAACTGGGATACGACCCTGGGGAATTGCGCAGACACAGCGGAGGAGCCCTGTTTTCCTGGAAAAAAGAAAAGCACGTGGCAATCCTGTAGAGCTGGCGGGTGCTAGAGGCTGCAAAAGCCGAGCTGCAGCAGCAAGAAATGGACACAAAGGAGCGGGCAGCACACGGGCCCCTTCCCTCCCTTCCGCAGCCACCCGCACAGCCAGCAGCGGCACAGAGGGGCTTTGTGCTCGGGGCAGTCCCATGGCCCTGCTTACATTGGCCCTGCGGCGCGGGCATACTGCTGGAGGAATGATGGCCAAGGGGTTCCGGGCAGGAGCCCCCGCGACCCAGGCTGCCCCACCAACAAATCCCTCATTCACCCTGCGCACAAAGTGGATTCCCCCGCTGGAGACCTTCCCACGGCACCCGGCAGTGCTGGGTGTGCTGCTCAGCCTCCCCGGCTGCTCCGCAAGGCACTCGCGCCACCTCCCATTCCCACATCGTAGCCCCTCTCCCTGTTACTACACACTGTCCCCGCCAAAATTTTCCTGATGCCTGCATGTTAAATAGTCTCTCTGCAGGAAGATATTATTCTGGCTGACGTCCCAGCAGTCAGAGATACTCAATATTCTCAAATACAACCAACAAGTGGCAGGATACCACTGACACAGTGACCTTTAGATTGTTAATTTTCACATTTATATGATGTTTACTGGGCTTCTAAGCCTGTACCCTATTTCTACTCATTTCTTTAGGATTCACACATCAAAGAGGTTTTCAAATCGGAAGAAACAACAGTTATCAGTTACCTTAGTCTCCGACCAGGCAACTTCTGGTATTAATTTGCTACCAAATTAGCCTACCAAAGCTATATTTTAACTGAAGAAGATTCATTGCCACTACCCACAAAGCCTGAAGTTTCATCAGAAAATATCCAGCAAGTTCAAGACAGTTTCCCACCCCTCCCCAGCTCATCACCTAGGTTATTACTTGAATATGCTTGGCTATCATGTGATGTGAAGACATTAATTTTTCTTTTGTGGAAAAAGGAAGTATCAAGCACGGACGCTTTCTCAGTTTTGTTAGCATTGGTAGTTCTGATAAGCTGACTTGCAAGGGACCAGTGGTGCTGCTAGGCTTCCTTTTGTGCTCAATATCCTTAAATTCTTTGCTCTTCTTAAACCTCTGGCAGTATTTTTTCCCTTATGCTTCTTTTTGACCATCTTCTACATCTTCCAACTTTAAATTTGCAGTAATTGCAGCTTCCTTTTTTCCCCCCTAAATATGTGTCTTTTAGAAATGTCACTATTTTTCAACTTAGCATAACTTTCAACTGCTGGATTAAGGCTTTTGGGGAATAGAATAAGAAGTGAATAGGCTGCTTCTGATTAGCATTCCTATCTGGCTATTTTAAATACTCCGCTGATTCAGCTCAAGTATTTTTAAATTTGGGAAATCACTTCTTTTAAGAGCTACTAGGCATTATTTGTTGACACAGATTAAGTGTGCATTACTTGTGTAATAGTTTGTAACTCTCATAGCAATGTTTCTTTCTCTATCGAGATTGGGGCCAATATACATTTCCCTTGTGCTGGAAGTAATGCATTGCAATTTATGAGATGGTCACCCTCAGTTCTGAGGAATTACCCCATCATTTGCTAAAATCCACCATCATCTCAGCTCTCCTCATCCCTACAGAGACAGTCACACCCGTCTCGGTCTCTGGCATCCTGGATGGTAATGGGCACTAACCTTCACCCGCTTTGGGCACTTGTTCCTGGTTACGCCCCAGGCGGCTATCGTGTACAACTATTTAATTATCGTTGTTGTGGTTAAGGACAGCAAGAGGAAGGTTGGTGACGTGTGAGCCACAGCCCATCATCCTTTCCTGTGCCCCATCAGCCACCTGCGCCAGGGGGATATAGAATTTCTTACGGTAAAAGAGAGGAAGTAGCCTCCAGAACAACCATTCCCCGCTTCAATACCCACGTTGAGTCAGCAAGTTCAGAAACTTCCTGGAAAACACAAAGTCCTGAGTGCTGTAAATATTGCTACACCCAACAGGAGGTTCTGGCAGGGGGAACGACGCCAGCGAAAACACATCCAAACCCCTCGCCACCCACAGCGTGCTCTGCGCCTGGCACTTACAGAGGTGTCAAAATAGGCCCTCCCAGTGGTGACCAGTTTCCCTGTATGCCCTCTCCACTGACCACCTCTCCTGCCTCGAAGGGGCTGAGGCCACCAAGCCTCTCGCCATGTCTCAAGGATGTTTTTCTCCGAATCATAGATTCCTGGGATCGCCTTGTGCGTTGAGCAATACTACCGCTTTCAGGGGCTCACTTCCCCAGCTTCCAAAAACCAGCGTGGCTGTCCAAAGTGCTGCATGTGAGCAAACAGGGCAGCTGCCTGCGCTGCTGCAGCCGGTGGGAACCCAAGCTTCCCAAATATTTCTGCACAGCAAAGCAACCAGCTTTTCTCCTGAAGTTTCACTTCCCACTCGGGACTGAAAACCATTGGAGCCTGATCACAAAAGCACAAACACTCTTCCAGGCTGGTGCAGCATCAGTAGAGCCACTGGCAAAGCCCCTGGCTGATGAGGCCATGTATGCGGAGGGACAGATGATGCCCATTCCCCAGAAGCCCTGTGTGCAAGCGCATACACCTGGGACCACTGTGGTGCTTATCTGTGCCTGGAATTTTGGCTATGCCTGGATTGTGTGTGTGATTTGCAGCAGGGGTGTTTGCTCTTTTAGAGGAGCATCTCTCAGGCCTGCAGGATACCCAGCGAGTTCTTCCTCCCTTAACATGCACACTACCCATTTGCAGCAGAGAAAACCACAGGCACCTTCCCCCTTTGCAACCAATTCTAGCAGATGAAGTGGAGGCCCCCTGCTATCCAGGCAGGGCAGCAGCCCCGCTGCTTCCTTTCAGTAAGCCAAGGTTAAGTCTGCACACATAAAAAAGATAGCTTGCTAGTTAAACACTTCCAGATTTGCCCCCTTACCTCCAGCTGTCAGCACCAGTATCTTTGTTCCTCATTACAGAGCCCAGGACAGGGAACAGCTGGGACAGTTTCTGCCTCCTGCTGAGGAGCGCATCCACTGTCTAGGCTTTGCAGAAAAATATACTGATTTCTCAGAGGTCAGCTTTAATAACTAGGATTCCCACAAACCATGAGGAGAATTCAGCTCATGATATTTGGCATGAATATCACACTGTGTTCCTCATGCTGCTACAATTTCCATTTCAAATAGCAGGAAACGAATTAGCCTGTGGTATTTTTCAGGACAACCAATGGGAAGGAACATGGGACTAAAGCCTGTCGAGGCGCACAGGCCTTGACAAAGTTCCTGAGGGTAAGAGAAGAAATACTTCTTGGAGGTTACAAAGGTAATGAAAAGTAAAAGTTACATATGAATCTAAATTTTCATTGTCAGAAGAGCCCCTTGCAAGGGCTGGAACCTCATGAAGGCATGGAAAAAAATAGCAAGGGAATTTTGCTGGATGAATGGGCTGGCACAGAATATTATTAAAGTTCAGATTACTTATTACTGGGCTGTGCAGTGAATCCTGGGGAGAATTAGGCTTAGGAAAGGAAAGCCGTTTATAATCAAACTGTGTTTTGGCCTTCAATTTGTGTGTTTTCATTACTCCCCTCCCCAAAATCCTTGCCTCAAATAATTCAAAATACACACATGAAGTATTTTGGATAAGGCGGCATGGGCACGAGGGGCTGCTGCGGAGGCATTAAACCACCGCTCCCCCCGGGTGACCGAGCAGCCCCCGGGCACCTGCAGAGACTGCACCCAGGACTGGGCCCCCCAAATGGACATTACAGCTCTGACTTCTCACTGCATCTGCCCCAGAGAAGCGAGAGCATGAGCTGCTCTCCATTCCCGACAAGGAGGTGCAAGCGGGGAAGACCCAGGCTCTTCTGTAACTCTTGCCTTCAGCTTTCTGCTCCATGCCCTAGCCTGTGTATCCAAAGATGTGTATCAGGACGGAGAAATCAAGACTCTCCACTGTCAAAAGCCAACAAAACTGAGGTTACTTCAGGTGAAGAAGTGACAAGCTTGTCACACAGCCACTCCAGCAAAGGGGACAGATCTATGGCACAGAAAGGAGCCGCTGGCTGGCTCTGTTAAGATGAGCAGAGCCCCTCAGCAGCAGAAATGGCCAGCAAACCTGGGCCCACGCAAAAAGCAGCTACAGATCTGCTGCTTCCCTGCCACCGCTGTTGCCCAGCCTCTCTGAGCACCCTTCTCCCTCTGGCTACGGGACATCCCGAGCTCAAGCCAGAACCCACCTTCCAGCCGCAGGATCCCCAGCCCCGCTGAAGCACTTGCAGCAAGTTCATGCGAGCCCAGGCTTCTTTCCTCCTGTCTCCTGCAGGAACAGGGGCGCTGAAGGAGTTATTTATTAACAGCTCTGGGACAAAGGAGAAGGAAGACAAAACCATTTATAAATCAGCTGAAGAGAAAACTTGTGACTAATGATCTCCTTTGTAATTCCTTAAGTGGGGCCTGGAGCTGCCCTGGCATGGCTTCTTGTGATGCTGAATCAGCGGAACAGCCCCGCTCGTGCAGTGAATGGCCTGATAAGGGCAGAATAGCCCTGAAGAAGAAAGCACTAACTTATGCTGCATCCAGATTTTTCTTGGCTTCTGCCAGGATTTGGGAAGACCGATAGTGGTCGACCTTCTCACCACTAAATACCAAGCAGTGACTCACATTAGCATCTACCTCCGCAGGACATATGCTTTCCTCTGGGACAAGGTAGAAACAGGGTAAAGAGAGAAAACTCATGCAAGAGCTGTCAGTACCAGCCAGTGCTTGCTGAGCTCTCCGATAGGACCGTACCAATCCTGAACACTTTGCACACTTTTTCTTTTGATAACTTTCCTCAAGGGGGGGAGGGGAGTACAAAAATAACAACTCACTGTTTAAGAGTTACCCATAGCAGAGAAAAGCTGAGCTAAAGTTTCCAACAATTATCAGTACAACATCCTAAAATAGGCATGCAATGTACCATTTTTTAATTTAAAACTGGCTGGGATAGGAGTTCTATCATGTGGATTGAAAGCTGTGTAAGAACACAAGGCAAACATATCAAGATGACAAGTCACGTTAGAACAACAGCATTAAAATGCCCAGTATAGCACAGATATAGATGAAGGAGCAAAGGCCTCAAGCAGAAGTGGCAAACTGCACTATAATTCATTAGGAGGAGCTGCACATCCTGGGAGGATGGATAAATAATGTCCAAGGTATCTATGGAAACCACCATCCTACACAGGAAACAATAAAACTTGGAAAGAGACAAAAAGGAGAAAAATAGCTCAAACTTCAGATTCTCCTAAGGACAGTAACACTAACTGAAAGCAGGATTTGATCCCAAAGAGAAGCGGCTCCCTTGAAGAGATGCGAGGTATGGAAATGAGGGCTAGCAGGCTGAAGGAGAAGTAGGAGCTGTATGGTAACCCTGCAAAGAGAAATCTGTGGGGCTGTCTCCTCAGGGCAGATGTGGGAGCCCTAGCTTTAAAATCCTTTTATAAGCTGGCTGGGCTCCCAGACCACTCTTGTTCAGATGAGGCTCAGCAGTGGGGCTCCTCCTGGGCCATGATGTGTGCACCCTTTACAGACACACGGGAAATCAACTTTGAGTGGGAACGGTGAAGGCAAAAGGCTGGTGAGCAGTTTCGGCTTTGCACTTTCCATCACCGAAAGCATCTGACAGCTTTCCCTGCCCTCCTGTTTTATCCAATATTTTTGCCCAATAATTTTCAGCCCTCAGAGCCTCTCACAGCTCAGTTTGGACCCAATTACATTTTTGCATCACTGATCATGCCAAAACAAAAACTTCTTAAACTCTGCTAAGTTTACCAGTTATAAACAAGGGTTTCACGTCTTTTTCTCGTTTAAGAATGAAGTAATTTTTAACGTAGCTATCATACAGGAAATTAATGTAGCAACAGTGCAAGACCTTATGGAACAGGAAGACAATCTCATTTCAAAAAATCATTTCGGTTGCCCTCATTTTCTGACCCACGCGCACTCCCCCCGTACTCACAGGTGCCGAGCTCACCCAGGTGCTCTGGCAGGATCCTGTGTGAGATGATACCAGATGCCAAGTCCTCACTGCGTCTCGTGGGTTCCTCTTCAGTGGCAAGCTACGAACTTTTGAGCAGGTCTTTTGCCATCCTGAGGAGCTAACAGTTGTTACAGTGTGACCCCTTGAAATCTTGCTTACCTCATCCCCCGAGAGACCTAGGGCAGCTGGCTGCTCAATGCCTTTTTTTTCCCCCGCATTTTTGGGTACCTTCTCTCCCACAGTCTGCCTCCCTGCTGGGAGAGGAGGAGGAGGACTTGCACACAGGATATGCTCTGACCTTGCTGTCATCCTTCTGTTATTGGAGCACATTTTTTTCCCCCAAGGACTCAAAGGCACAGGGGCTTTATCAGCGCCCATGCCTTCTGCTGACGAGTTGTCCATGCAAGGGCTTATCAGAGCGCAGGCTGCTGGGCTTGTCAAACACACCACATTTGTCAGTATTTACCCAGTTTCAGCGCGGTCAGTCACATCCTTGGTTATCAATACAGACCATTCCTTTAACCCTTGCTCTGTTGCTTCTTGTAGTGTACACTCTCCCCTCCCCACCCCTCCCTTCGTGTTTCCTTCAGGCCAGTCTTAGAGTTTCTGCGTCTTCAGCCTGCCTTATGCACGGCGTGCCTAGACCTTTGCTTCACGGGCCATCATTGTGGCTGTGAAAAGGCCTCCTTGGCTTGGTTAGGTTATGGGAGACCCTAATAACAGCTGAGGAAGCAGATTTTAGGGCTGGCCTGGGGTCCACTCCTGCATGCAGCTCCGCTGCTGGGATGCAGCTGGGTCTGCGGCTCGGAGCTCGCAGCACAGCATGCATGAGCACAGCACCAGCCGTGGTCTGTTGGAAGTTACAGGATGCTGAAATCCAGGAGAGAAACAATGCAGCCCATCCCTGGGTGCCACTACCAGACTCACCACGAGGGATTAAACAGTTTACACCCAAGACCTTGCTGACAATATTAGTGCTGGAGCTGTTTTCAGCCTGTCACATGCCAAGCAGCTCCCCGTGACAGCACGGGGCAAGACGACTGTCACTAGTGCGGTGCAAACCTGGTGGTGTTCCTACACCCAGGCTTGCAGGGCAAAGCTGGCATTAACCTCAGCTTCCCCCTTAAAGCTCCTGGTGAGACAGGAGAGCTGCAATTACCCCATGGCAGAACCACAGCGCTCACAAGGAGGCTTTTGTGCGCACACATTTTCTCATGCTCGTGTGACAGCCTTACGAGTCGAGCTTTCTCTCACTGAGCAAGGGCTGTCTCACTTCTTTCCCACTATTCCCAGGCTCCCCTTAGCTCTGTGGCTTTCACAGCTGACTCCGGCTCTCAGCAGTGCTGTCTGCCCAGAACATGTGGGGAGCTCATACCAGACAGGTAATGTTGGAGCCAACCATCATACTTCTATGTCTGTTGAACCTCAGCCTTTCCCTAATAATGAATCACAGCATTTTATTTGTCACAGAGCTTTCCATCCATATACCACCAAGCAGTTTACAGAGGTCAGCACCATTAGCCCCATTTTCCCAGACGATGAAAAAGCACAAGAGAGCGGCAACTAGCCAGCCTGGCGATCTTGTCCCCTGGGCTACCTCATCCGCCTGTCTGGGAAGCTCTCACGAACCAGGGCTCGCAGCACGCTCCCTCCTGCGGAGACGCAGGGTTCCCAGGGGCCGGGGAAGGAGCAGCACGCTTTGGCTACACCTACTCTTAAATTCATCTTCTGACATTTTGATATATTCTCTCGTGTTCTGCCAGATTAATAACAACTTGGAGATTATTGGTCTAGTAAAATACACACACGACTCGTACTACAAGATCTGTGTAGTTCTGCTGCAACTTCAAAAACATGGGAAATATGGAAAATGTTATTTCAGTTAGGAGAAACACACTGAAAGAGGAACACAGGCAGCGGAGCCCCATAGCATAAAGGCTGGCATTCCCTGGGTTTCCTTCTTGCGGTCTGGCTTAAGGGGCAGAGGTAGGAGAAACCAGTAGGGTGAAAGAGTTGTTTGCTGCTTTTATAAAGGAGTTACGAATTACTTAACAGCAGTCCTTCTGCGTTATATATAATCTCTATGAAATGCTAGTAAACCTAATGACTAACTGCTCCACCAGAACAAAAAAAAGATCCAGAGATGTGGTTTGCAGTAGATTACAAGATAAATTTATGGTTGCAGTCTCCTGAGAAGTAAATGGGCAGAAGAGGCTCTCCAAGATCCTTATTTACAGAAGGGCAACTATTCCAAGTAAGGTTTATGGGATCCAGTTAGCATTCTCACAAACACCAAGTGGCCACAACACTGAAAGGTCCTTAAATGGGTAGAGAAATTACTAGTCTCTGGAGCAGAGACACACTTTGTAACCTAAAAAGCAACTGTAAAATTACTGTCTTTAACAAGGAGTTCATAGCATGGGGCCGGGTTCCGTTGTAAAACACTATTTTTAAGATGAAGTGCAAAGGCCTAGTTTCCCAGGTGACTTAACGCATCAGTTTGCCACAAAAAGGGACTATCCTACCTCTGCCTTTTGCAGATTCCTTTTCTGATTTTTTATATATATATAAAAATATATGCAAATATAAAAAGAAGTCTTTAACAAGGAGTTCATAGCATGGGGCCGGGTTCCGTTGTAAAACACTATTTTTAAGATGAAGTGCAAAGGCCTAGTTTCCCAGGTGACTTAACGCATCAGTTTGCCACAAAAAGGGACTATCCTACCTCTGCCTTTTGCAGATTCCTTTTCTGATTTTTTATATATATATAAAAATATATGCAAATATAAAAAGAAATATAAATATATATATAAATAATTTTTTTTTATTTACCAAGCTACTGTTCAGATGAGTTAGCTCTCTGGTCAGGCTGATGCAGTCACGAGCACAGTGTGGCAAACAAGTGGTGGTCTGAATGTCCTTTTCATCAGGTAGGGTAGGCGTAGCTCAACCCAACTTCATGTATTAAAACCACTTGCTAAACTCATCTTTAAACCTGCAACTGGTGAATTTCAAAATGAGGTCTTTGTTCGCTCTGGTTAATGACAGAATAAACCCTAAACAACACTGCTGGAACAAGAACCTGACCATTAGTTTTACCAGAACAAAGTTCTCTTCAGCTTCATCTGATTTTGTGTTTACTGCAGTCTCAGAGCTGACAAAGAGTAAGCTTCCTATACTATTTCTGGAAAACAAGACTAAATATATAGATGCTGCAGATCAACTTATTGGGCACATTCAATTCAAGGCAAAATTGCAGATTTCCAGTACGTTTCCCACAGAGCAGCTGAAGCCAGCAGCTAAGGGCTGATCCTGGCCAAGAGCAGATGTTCTCCCTGGCAAGAGCTGCCTGCTGCCATTCTGGCATGGGGCAGGTAGGAGGGAGGGACAGTTTTCAGCTGAGAACAAATCCCACTCTGTTACCTGTCCCCACCACCAAACCCACGGTCCATATAGGAGCTCCATCTTCCCTCCTGCTGTGTGCCTGCTCCCTGGGCTTTCCCATGCACCGTGGGCATTTCCATCCCATCAGCTGTGCTGCAGAGGCTCTAACTTCCCTCTATCCCTCACTTTTGGAGGAATTCCACCCCCCTTCTAGCTACAGCCCAGGGAGGAAGGCGTGGGGGCTGCTGCCTCCCCTGCCACGGTCCATATAGGAGCTCCATCTTCCCTCCTGCTGTGTGCCTGCTCCCTGGGCTTTCCCATGCACCGTGGGCATTTCCATCCCATCAGCTGTGCTGCAGAGGCTCTAACTTCCCTCTATCCCTCACTTTTGGAGGAATTCCACCCCCCTTCTAGCTACAGCCCAGGGAGGAAGGCGTGGGGGCTGCTGCCTCCCCTGCCCCCAGCTGCAGCGGCACTATTAGTTAACGGCAGGAAACACAGCAGGTGGACCCGCAACTTAACGCATCAGTTTGCCACAAAAAGGGACTATCCTACCTCTGCCTTTTGCAGATTCCTTTTCTGATTTTTTATATATATATAAAAATATATGCAAATATAAAAAGAAATATAAATATAAATATATATATATAAAAATAATTTTTTTTTTTTTACCAAGCTACTGTTCAGATGAGTTAGCTCTCTGGTCAGGCTGACGCAGTCACGAGCACAGTGTGGCAAACAAGTGGTGGTCTGAATGTCCTTTTCATCAGGTAGGGTAGGCGTAGCTCAACCCAACTTCATGTATTAAAACCACTTGCTAAACTCATCTTTAAACCTGCAACTGGTGAATTTCAAAATGAGGTCTTTGTTCGCTCTGGTTAATGACAGAATAAACCCTAAATAACACTGCTGGAACAAGAACCCGACCACTAGTTTTACCAGAACAAAGTTCTCTTCAGCTTCATCTGATTTTGTGTTTACTGCAGTCTCAGAGCTGACAAACAGTAAGCTTCCTATACTATTTCTGGAAAACAAGACTAAATATATAGATGCTGCAGATCAACTTATTGGGCACATTCAATTCAAGGCAAAATTGCAGATTTCCAGTACGTTTCCCACAGAGCAGCTGAAGCCAGCAGCTAAGGGCTGATCCTGGCCAAGAGCAGATGTTCTCCCTGGCAAGAGCTGCCTGCTGCCATTCTGGCATGGGGCAGGTAGGAGGGAGGGACAGTTTTCAGCTGAGAACAAATCCCACTGTGTTACCTGTCCCCACCACCAAACCCACGGTCCATATAGGAGCTCCATCTTCCCTCCTGCTGTGTGCCTGCTCCCTGGGCTTTCCCATGCACCGTGGGCATTTCCATCCCATCAGCTGTGCTGCAGAGGCTCTAACTTCCCTCTATCCCTCACTTTTGGAGGAATTCCACCCCCCTTCTAGCTACAGCCCAGGGAGGAAGGCGTGGGGGCTGCTGCCTCCCCTGCCCCCAGCTGCAGCGGCACTATTAGTTAACGGCAGAAACCACAGCAGTTGTACCAGCAGTTCCTGCCGCTCCGCTCTCTCGGGAGCCCTCCGAGCCGAGTGCGAAAGCGCTGTGAAACGACTGAAGGCTCGAAGTGGTTTCTACGTCCTGAGCTGCTGATTCACCTCTTGCAGGCAGTGCACAGAGCTCAAAGGCCAGCGATGGCTTGAGCTTTGGCTGAAAGATTGCAGGTAGTTAGTGAAAAAACAAGCTAATTCTCATTCCTTTGTAAAAATAGGTCCATTTTCTTTTCATCCCCTGCCCCAAGAAGAATCCAGCATTCACCACCCTATACGATCAGGGCAAAGATTCTCAGGAGGATCAGAAACAAAGGGGTGAATACAAATCAAACTGAAAGCCTTTAACTTCTACTTATGCAAAATAAAAATGTTCACTCAAAGGTGCAAGTCCCAGCCTGTAAACCATCCAGCCACTCCGTAAGGGTTACTTTTTGGTCGGAGCA